GCTGGAGGGAGGGGCCTCCGTGAGGACCCGAGGGTCCCTGTGTGCCTCCCTCGCTACAGGAGGGGCAGTTCTGAGAGCCCAGCCACAGGCAGAGGCCTTGGGCACCGCTGCGCGGTACTGCTCCACCTGGGAGCCTGGGTTCAGGTCCTGGGTCAGCCTCAGCAGGGCCATGCGGCGGTGTGCCACACCTGCCAGGGCACCTGTCTGCCTCTGCCTCCACCCCCTCAGGAAATACGAGGGGACCTTGGAAAGTTCATGGAAAAGCAGAACTAAAGTATGAGTTTAACTCAGTGCAAAAATTAAAACTTGCATAGCTTTTCCATAATAGGCATTTTCCATGCACTTCTCAAAAACTCCCTCACAAACGTGGAATTAAAAATAGTAAGGGAGTCAGCCCGTGGTGTGGTTAAGGTGCTGGATCCCTCATGGCCAGCTGCACATTGTAACCCGGCAGCTGTAACAGCACACCAGGCTGAACCCCGAGGGAGTGGAGGTAAGGAATGTGGTGTGGCCACCCCCGGGGTACTTCATTACCGTCTCTCTCTCGCTGACGCTCTGGCGAGTGCATGTGCCCTATAGAAAATTTAAAAAAAACAACCAAACAAACAAAAAAACAGAACGAAAGAAGCAGCCCTGGGGTGGTCTGGCCCAGGGGAGTCAGAGGTGCCTGGGCCCCCCACCCGATGGCTGCTGGCCAGAGCACCTTGAAAAGCTGGTGTAGACGAAGCTTGTAATTTACAGCTGAGGACTTCTGGGGTCAGCAACTGCTCCCTGCCGTGGCTCCCAAGACACCCCGTGGTGCACAGTGGCCTAGAGCAGAGATCCGTCAAGGCCGCCTCCGCCAGCCTGGGCCACGGGCTGGGCGGGCGCCGGGTGGGCGTGGTCTGCCTGCCATAGCACCCAGGCCCACCCTGTCCACAGCTGCTGTCTGCCGCCAGCCTGTTCCAGCTAGACGCCCTGCAGAGGCACTGCGAGATCCTGTGTGCCCGGACGCTCAGCGTGGACAGCGCCGTCAGCACCTATAAGTATGCCAAGGTGAGCCCGCCCCCTGGCCCCCAGCCCCCGGCCCCCGGCCCCCGGGCCCCGAGCTGTCAGTCCCATGGCATGTCCTCAACTGTCGCCCTGCCTGCCGGCGTTCCAGCCACCCGATCACCTGCTCCGTCATTCAGACACAAATCTGGGAAGCCATATTTAACTTCTTCAAATCTCCCACCTCATGCCGTCAGCCAGCCCCTGGAACATGCCAGCACTGGCCTTCCTCCCCCCACCGCCCCTGCCCAGAGCCACTGCCGTCCCTCTCCAATGGCCGTGTCGGCCTGGCCTCCAGCCTGCAGTCCCAAGACTGCCCAGAGCACAGGAACAGGTCACTCCCCCGTAAGCCTGCACAGGCTCCTGAGGCCTGCAGACGGGATAAAGGCCAGCCCCTGCAGCACTCCTGGGAACCCAGGCCCCCACATCTCCACATGCCCTGGCCTGTGTCCTTCCCCAGCTTGTCCCCAACTCAGGGCTGTGACAACCGTGCCCTCTTCCCATAAAGCTACTTCCCTAGCTCTGCCCAGGACCTGCCCTCTGCTGCCATCAGCTGTCGGCCCCCGGCCTCCCTCAGGCTACCCTGTCACTGCTGTCACCAGCTTTTGCGTCGGCCTGCCTGAGCTGGCACGTCCTGGCACGTCCGCTGGAGTGCCTGCGCAGGCTGGGCCAGGGCGGCCTCGAGAACCCACCGCAGAGCCCACCAACTGGGCCTGGTGAGGGCGGCCAGCGGCCTCCCTGTTACCGCCCGTGGCTAGGTGGCCTCAGTGCAGCAGGTGCACCCCAGGCCAGGCAGCACTGTGTGACAGGCGGGGCTGGTGGCAGAGCAGCTCCAGCCCTGACGCAGCCCACCAGGGAGTGTGCAGGGAGGGCCAGGTCCCCTCCAGCACTGAGCTCTCCCCTCCGGCCGCAGATCCACAATGCCCCGGAGCTGGCCCTGTTCTGTGAGGGCTTCTTCCTCAAGCACATGCAGGCCCTGCTGGGGCAGGACTCCTTCCGGCAGCTCATCTATGGCCGCAGCAGCAAGGTGCAGGGCCTGGACCCTCTGCAGGACCTGCGGAGCACGCTGGCTGAGCGCGTGCACTCTGTCTACATCACCTCCCGGGTGTGAGGGCTCTCCCTTAGCATGGGGGCGGCCGGCCTTCCTGCAGGCACCACGGCCACCCCTCCACAGGTCAGCCCGCCCAGACCCACCCTCGGCTCCTCTGGTCACTTATGGCCAGGCGCTCCAGGCTCTGCCCACCCCAGCCGGAGCTTCTGGGGACGGGCACCCCACGAGCAGGGTACATGCTGTGGCCAGGCCACAGGCGTGCTTCCCTAAGTGTCTGACCCTCATGACTGGGCCTCTGCAAGTCCCCTGGCCCCAAGGCCGGGGCCGCCATGCCTGGGGCCCTCCTGCCAGACTGCCCACTGGCTCCACAGTGGAGGGCCATCCGGTGGCCTTCGGAGCCAGGTGCTACACGGAGCCTGGTGCCGGCCTTTCTTGCTGCTATGGCTTCCAGGGGCCAGAGCAATGGGGCTGGGGGGCCCTCGAGCCGCTGCCGGACAGGAAGGCCTGCGCCGCCTCCCGGCCAGGCCTTCCACCTAGGACCAGAAGATGGAAGAGGCTCCTCCCAGAGGAGCCAGTGGGAGGCTGTCTGCCACGCCCATCCTGGCCCCCGGGTCCTGGACTGTCCCGCGTTCCCGGCCCAGACACCGGAGCAGCGAGGACAGTGTGTCTGGCACAGCCACTTTGAGCAGCTAGAAACTGTTCACCAAGAGCCCCGGCACCTTTGTGCCGCTCAGGCCTGGGAAAGTCCCGGGCTTCAGTCCTGGAAGGTGACTGGCGCGCTGTAGAGGAGCGGCACGGTCCTGCTGCCCTAAGCCTGTATGCTGTCACTGTACGTTGTCACTCGCTGTAATGCTGCCGCGGTCTTAATAAACACTAGTGGCCAGTCTGGCCATCGCTCAGCCCAGAGCCGAGTCTGTGTCCCCGGGCGACTCCGCACACGGCCAGGCCTGGCCGCCCGCACTTGCACCCTCTCCCTCCCCTGCTGGGGTCCTCACCTGCTGCCAGCCTGCTGTGAAGCTCCCACCCACCTAGCTCGCTATGGGATGGGCAGGTCACTCCTCTGCGGCCAGGCTGTGCCGTGCTGGCGTGGGAGCTATTGCTGGGGCCCCTCCACAGCAGGGTTCACGCACAGTACAGGGGAGCTGAGGGCAGGCCTGGCCCCGTGAGCGGCAGGTGCCTCTGCCTGTCTCCACCAGGCCTCGCCGAGCCTGAGCCAGCACCATGGGGACACAGCACGGGCCGGAGGGGGGAAGCTGGTGACAGCCAGGATGTTCCAGGACCTGGTTCTAGCTGAGGTGCAAAGTCCAGGCAGAAGGTCCTCAGGTGTCCAGTGGGATTGGCAGGCTAGCCTGGGGCTGTGGCCATGCATGGGCTGACAACGCCCCCTGGGGGTCACAGGGAGACACGGTCTTTGTGAGCAGAGATGTTGGGGACCGTGTCCAGCCGCCCTGAGTGCCCACGGGGGCATGCTGCAGCCAGTACCCAGCCCAAGACCTAGTAAGAGCCCGACTCACCTGGGATTCAGCTGTGTCCCCCAGGGCGGTTACCGGGAAGGCCTGTGCAGTGGCCCGTGGCCCTCGAGCACGCATAGCAGGGACACTCTTGCACAAACCTTTCAGATGAGGACAAGCGGCAGACACCCGTCCGAGCGACAAGTGCGACGGATGGGGTTAGCCACGCAGCCCTCGGCCAGGCTCGCTCAGCTAGGGGCAGTCTGAGCCCAGTCTCCAGCTACCTGCGGGGCCAAGTTGAGTGTCACGAGCTCCACCCAGGATTTCACCGCTCCAGCTGCCGGGACACTGTCTGGCCAGGGCAACCCCGCCCGGAGCTGTGCTCCCTCGGCTCACCGCGGGACCCTTGCCCACTGGGACGTCCCTCCCAGACACAGGCCCAGCCCTACCCCTCCAGGCCTGCAGACCAGCCTTGGATATCCACTTGTCCCAAGGTGACGACTTACTCCCACCCCTCCCAGCCTCAGCAGTCTGTCTCCCGGTGACTCTGAAGCCTCCTGGGGCTGCCAGGCTGGATGAGTGGCGGCCGGCCCCAGGAGTCGTCTCTGTTAGTCCTGCCCATGGTGACAGCACTCCAGCCAGCCCCTCTGGGTTCAGCTCACAAGTGACATTTTGAGATAGCTGAGCTTTACAGATGTCAGTCTGGGGGCCAGATAGCGTGGTCTGGGGCATGTGCCCCAGATCTGCTGGAGGGACGGGGCTGCAACAGGGCAGCCCATCCTGGACGCCTGACACTGGCCACTCCGTGAGCAGGGCCAGCCAAGGGCCACTGTGCTGTCCCACACGGCCAGGTGTGCCCACTGAGGGCTAGCTCCATCCCGGGCAGGCTGGAAGCGTTCCCCTTCCCCTTGCTCAGCACCTCACTGGGAGCTCTGAGGGGCGCGGTTACTCAGATGAGGCCCTCACAGGTGGGCAACTCAAGCCCAGGGCCCCTCACCAGGCACCTTGGGGCTTGCAAGATGGTGGCCCAGGCTCAGCTGCCCACATGGGAAAGCCAGTGGGAAGGGTCGGGTCCTCCTAGGCAAGCTTTCCTACACACCCGGACACGGCCCTGCACCCAGGTCCTGGCGGCCCATGACGGCCGCAGCCCACTGGGTCCTCAGCCCAGAGCCCAGGCCCACCCTGCCCCTGCACCAGCCTCCCCGAACCATTCCAGGTCAGGGCAGGAGCTCCTCCCTGATGGCATGGCGGAGCACGGAGCACGCTGGGTCACGTGTGCACACTTCAGCAGACAGGAGCCTGGCCACCTGCGCCTCAGGTACCTGGGCCGCACCGGTGACACGGCCGTCCAGCGCTTCTGCCTCTCCCATAGGTCCCACCCCGCCGCGTCGGCACCCACGCCCAGGCCTCCACCTGTGGGCAGGACACGTGTGGCCTGCGAGGGCACCAGGAGGCGGTCGCCAGAGATGCCGTTTATTAACACACTCCTCTCCCACTCCTGCCAGCTAAGGCCCTCGAACAGACGAAGGCTCAGCGGCCAAAGTCAGGGACCCCGAGGGCAGCAGGCCGGCACTGCCTGGGGACACCTGGGTTCCCGCTAGTCCCGGCCTGGGGTGGCCGCACGGTCCAAGGGGGAGACCTGGCCAGAAGCAGCAGAGCACTGCGGCCCACGTGGCCTGGAAGGGACACACCGGCGAGGCCACACGTGTGGTCCGAGCACGAAGCGCTGGCCAGAGGCAGGCTGGAAGCAGGAAAGGGGGCCGTGGCCGGGGAGGCAGACCCCCATCCGCACAGGCTGTTCAGAGGGGTCTTGCCCACACAGGCGTCAGCGCCCAGGCCGCAGCCCTGTCCCACGGGGCAGGCGCAACTCCTCCCGCAGCAACGCCGCAGCCGAGCCCCTCGCTATTTCTTCGGCTTCGGCTTCTCTCTTCTCTTCACCTCTCTGTTTCTCTTCAGCTTCTTGTTCCGTGAGGGCTCTTGTTTGCCTTCCAACTTCCTTTTGTCACTGGAGAAAACAAAACCAGGGTCGAGAGAATGAGCCAGTCCCGGCCGGGAACCCCCGGCTGCCCCACAGGATGCTGTGGCGCACAGCGCTCTACTGACCCACCGTGCTGGGGGGCGCCATGTGGGGTGCATATGCTGCTGGGACCAGTTCTGGGCTGCCTGGGCAAGCCTGGCCTGCAGAGGGGTAGACCTTCAGCTCCACGCTGAGATCTGGGCTCTCACCGACTGCTGGGCGTCTCCCTCCATCCCTGCACGCCCTGCACGCCCTGCACTGGGTTACCCGGAGCCCCAGTCCCAGTGACCCCACCGACTGCCAGTCCTCACAAAGCACGGGTGTCCCTGGCTCCGAGGCTCGTGTGCTGCCTGCCGTGTGCGGGGGGGCCTGCAATTCCCCAGGAGCAACGACCCCAGGGCAGGGCCTGGGGGGCAGCTGGCCCACGGCTCCGCGCTGACCAGCGGCACGGAGTCACTAGGCAAAGAGCTGCCGTCTTCCGTTATGAGGCACTCTGCCTTGAGAAGACCCTGCCTGACGGGGACAGAGACCGTCCTGTCCAGGACCACCAGCATCACCCGGACCAGGCACCTCCCAGGGACGGGTCAAGAAAGGTCAGGCCTCCCTCAAGGAGCTTAACGCCACAGATGGGGTTTTCCTCGACAGCCCCAAAGCCTGCGCCCGTGAGGCCACAGCGGCCTCTGCACGCAGCCCTCTTCCGGCTGCTGGGCTTTGCAGGAGAGCGAGATGCGACCGGACGCAGGTCGACCTGGGGTCAGCTGCACCCCCACACAGCTGTGCAAACCCACGAACAAAGCAGCAAGCACTGTATTCTCTGATTTTTATGAGAAAAAGCATTTTAAAAACTATCGAAGATCATAATGGATCCATTATTGCTCTTTTCGAACAACTGTTTTTTAAAGTTTCTCAAGTTTTAAATTCTAATTCTGGAAACATTGGTAAGAGTTACCCACACCATCATTTTTAAAATTAAAGGCACTCCTAAGACCCGAACTTGGAGGACCAGTGGCTTAAAGGAAGAAAACCTCGGCTTCTGGAACCAGCCAGTGGAGCGGGGCTTAAGGTGTGGGGTCCCACGCTGACTATGCTGTGTAAGTCCGAGACCAGCAGCTTAAAAACACATCAGGTGTGTGTGCCCAAAGTCCCGAGGGAAATGGAGAAGGGACTACACCGTGGCCATCCCTGGGGGTGAGCTCTCTCTCTCTCTCCCTCTGCAGAGTGCACACATGCAACAAATTCATTTTTGTTGTTTGAGAGTTTTCCTATAGAGTGCACGCACTCGCCACAGAGACAGACAAAGTGAGAAATCAACCCCAGAGGACGATAACCACAATGCAATCCCTCCTCCTCTGCTCTCCTCTTGGGATTTTGGGTGCATACGCGCATACGCACACACGCCCAGCCTGAGTTTTTAGCGTCTGGGTCTGAGACTTGAACCGTGCATGGTCAACTACGTAGAAGTTCGGTGACATAACCATTCTGCCATCTGCTGATCCCCACCCTATAGCAAACGGAAACAAAAACTATGACAGGCACTGCGTGGGCAACCCTGGCCCACTGCGTGGGCAACCCTGACCCATGCCTGGCACTGCCCTCACCAGCCATGTGCTTGGAGTCACGCAAGCCCTCAGAGCCTCGGCCCCTCATCTCTAAAGAAACGACAGGGAGAAAACAGCCCCTTGGCTACTGATCTGGCGGCACGAGACACTCCATGGAGCCGCGGGGCAGCCTCGGCCCTGCCCAGTTCTCTCACCCCGTCTCCGACGCCCTGGGCCTGTCTCATCTCCCCACGCAGGGGAAGCAAGCCCAGGCTGGCCCTCACCTCTTCAGGCTGACAATCGAGGCGTTCTGCCCGGCTTTGTTCAAAACCTCAGTCCACTCTTCGTCATCCCCACGGATTACGTACCTGTAAAAGGGACGGATCAAAGCCCGCTAAACAGGAGGGGAGGCTTCCAGGAAGCGTGGCAGCTGCTTGACACCCACCTCGGGGCAGGCATGCTGTCGGCACGTGAGCAAGGCCGTGGGCACAGCATGGCAGGCCACCTGCCCAACGCTCCCGGCCTGCTCCCACGCTGCCTGCCGCCCCGTCAGTACACTCCCGCTAAAGCACAGACCCAGGGTTCCTAGAACCTAAGGTCACAGAGCAAGGGCACTTGTCTGTCCCCGTGGGGGGCAGAACCCCTCCTCCCACAGACTCACAGGCCAAAGTACACAGAGAAGTAGCCACTGGTGGGGACGCTCACGTGGTCGGCCTCGCCAGCAGAGCCTGGAGCGGACTCGGCTCCCCAGGGACCCAGGGAGCACACTTCGAGAGCCAGAGTGGGGGCGCTCCCTCCCCCAAAGGGCACAGGGGCTGTCAGCCGTCAGCACTCCTGAACCGGTCCCCTAAACACAGCGCCAGGGCACGCGGGAGTAGGTCAGGAGACGCGTGTGAAGACTTCCGAGCACAGGAGGCTGGATGGCGGGGATGCCTTACTGCGAGAGGTCCATGTCCTTCAGCTTCGCCACCTCCGTCCTGTGTCTCTCCTGGAACTCCTTGGCTGCCTCGTCCTGTGGTCAGGGGACCAGAGAGAAGGTGGGAGTCAGGGTGAGCAAGGCACAGATAACTGTGAGCAGGGCCAGGGTGAATGGGCACGACGGGGACAGAGGCGGGTGAGCAGAAACCAGTGTCGGGGCGGCCCCACGCAGGGCGGAGAACGTCCCCCCGCCCCTGCCGGTCAGCTGGCCTTCGACACTTACAGCTCCCCTCGGGAGGGATGGACAGCGTTTGTGTCAGGAGAGCCAGGTGTCTATGCTCATGATCTGGGGATGTCACACACCCCCAGGCCAGGACGGGCACCCACGAGCCGCCCAGGGTCACGGCACTCGCGGGCCCTCGGCAGGGACGCACCAGGTCATCACTCAGGGTCTTCATCGTGGGCTCCATGACCACATCCCTCACTGCCACCATCTGTTCCTCGATGGCCTTTTCTTGCACGTCATTAAACAGCTATGAAAGACCACAGGGAGAGGTGGTGGGCAACGGCCCTGGTTCCCAGAGACCAAGCACCTGGGACTGTAGAGAAAGGCATGCACCCGGAAGACACAGCGAGGCCCCGTGCGGCTCAGGACACGCAGGGAGGGCAGGACACAGGCTGGACACGTGTGCACCCTACGGGCAGGACGCCGAGCTGCAGAGACGGATGAGGGCCCGCGTCTGTGGGGAGTGGGCGTGTACAGATCTACAGACACGCACAAGGCCAAGACCTGGCCGCCCGCCCTGGCCGGGCTACCTTCACGACTTTGCGGACGATGCGGTTGAAGAGCCCCATCAGCTGGCCCATGGGCAGCGCGAGCTCCTTCTCCAACTGCTCCAGGGGCTTGTGCTGCAGGCCGAGCCCCAAGAGGAGAGCCTGGGGGAGAGACGAGCCCGCACTGTTGAGAGCAGCGCAGAGCTGAAACACGCTGGCCAGGAGCGCCCGCACAGACCACCCCGCTGGCTGCGACATCAGGAAACACCCACTGTCCCCATCCCCGTCCCCTTCACTGCCCTGAGACTCGCCTCTGCTAGGAGAGGAAGTGCTCCCTGGCCCATGCTAGGCAGCTGGTGCCACGGCGACCTGGCAGAGGATTAAACACGGTGCCAACTGCAGCCTGCCACTCACCAGCCAACCACGTGGCTGGGAACCTCCCTGGACGGCAGGGCCCAGGTCCTCTGGAGACCACCACCCCCTTCCAGAACCAGGTGACACGCCCAGGCCGACACCCCGCCACGCAGCTCCATCCTAGCTGTCCACGAGCGCAGGGCACCCACCGACTGTGCGGCTGACAGGGCCAGGTCCCCCAGCTGGTTGAGGAAGTACAGGCGGGCCATGGCGGGGACCAGGTCCATGATGAGGTGGTAGTCAGCCATGTTCTGTGAGTACAGCTCCAGCCGCTTCAGGTCATAGGGCAGGGACAGCGGGGGCGCTCCCTCCCCCAAAGGGCACAGGGGCTGTCAGCCGTCAGCACTCCTGAACCGGTCCCCTAAACACAGCGCCAGGGCACGCGGGAGTAGGTCAGGAGACGCGTGTGAAGACTTCCGAGCACAGGAGGCTGGATGGCGGGGATGCCTTACTGCGAGAGGTCCATGTCCTTCAGCTTCGCCACCTCCGTCCTGTGTCTCTCCTGGAACTCCTTGGCTGCCTCGTCCTGTGGTCAGGGGACCAGAGAGAAGGTGGGAGTCAGGGTGAGCAAGGCACAGATAACTGTGAGCAGGGCCAGGGTGAATGGGCACGACGGGGACAGAGGCGGGTGAGCAGAAACCAGTGTCGGGGCGGCCCCACGCAGGGCGGAGAACGTCCCCCCGCCCCTGCCGGTCAGCTGGCCTTCAGAGCCTGACAGGCAGCTCCCGTTTCGGAGGACCTATGTGCTCACGCGGACACTTACAACGCCCCTCGGGAGGGATGGACAGCGTTTGTGTCAGGAGAGCCAGGTGTCTATGCTCATGATCTGGGGATGTCACACACCCCCAGGCCAGGACGGGCACCCACGAGCCGCCCAGGGTCACGGCACTCGCGGGCCCTCGGCAGGGACGCACCAGGTCATCACTCAGGGTCTTCATCGTGGGCTCCATGACCACATCCCTCACTGCCACCATCTGTTCCTCGATGGCCTTTTCTTGCACGTCATTAAACAGCTATGAAAGACCACAGGGAGAGGTGGTGGGCAACGGCCCTGGTTCCCAGAGACCAAGCACCTGGGACTGTAGAGAAAGGCATGCACCCGGAAGACACAGCGAGGCCCCGTGCGGCTCAGGACACGCAGGGAGGGCAGGACACAGGCTGGACACGTGTGCACCCTACGGGCAGGACGCCGAGCTGCAGAGACGGATGAGGGCCCGCGTCTGTGGGGAGTGGGCGTGTACAGATCTACAGACACGCACAAGGCCAAGACCTGGCCGCCCGCCCTGGCCGGGCTACCTTCACGACTTTGCGGACGATGCGGTTGAAGAGCCCCATCAGCTGGCCCATGGGCAGCGCGAGCTCCTTCTCCAACTGCTCCAGGGGCTTGTGCTGCAGGCCGAGCCCCAAGAGGAGAGCCTGGGGGAGAGACGAGCCCGCACTGTTGAGAGCAGCGCAGAGCTGAAACACGCTGGCCAGGAGCGCCCGCACAGACCACCCCGCTGGCTGCGACATCAGGAAACACCCACTGTCCCCATCCCCGTCCCCTTCACTGCCCTGAGACTCGCCTCTGCTAGGAGAGGAAGTGCTCCCTGGCCCATGCTAGGCAGCTGGTGCCACGGCGACCTGGCAGAGGATTAAACACGGTGCCAACTGCAGCCTGCCACTCACCAGCCAACCACGTGGCTGGGAACCTCCCTGGACGGCAGGGCCCAGGTCCTCTGGAGACCACCACCCCCTTCCAGAACCAGGTGACACGCCCAGGCCGACACCCCGCCACGCAGCTCCATCCTAGCTGTCCACGAGCGCAGGGCACCCACCGACTGTGCGGCTGACAGGGCCAGGTCCCCCAGCTGGTTGAGGAAGTACAGGCGGGCCATGGCGGGGACCAGGTCCATGATGAGGTGGTAGTCAGCCATGTTCTGTGAGTACAGCTCCAGCCGCTTCAGGTCATAGGGCAGGAACAGCACATCCAGCCCCTCCCGGCTCAAGGCTGCACGTGGACACGGCAGGCGGTCAGTCGGGGTCCACGCGCCGCACGAGCAGCATCCCCCAGGTGGCGCCTGACACACAGAGGCTGCAGAGTGCCGTCTCGAGGGAACGCGCCCTGCCCTGGGGGACAACTCTGTCACAGGGAGGCCGCCCAGACCTCGCGAGGGCGGGACCGCTGGCAGGGGCCTTGCTCAGAGGCCCTGCCCTCTAAGTCGCTTCGAGAGCCTCGGAGATGCACAGGCTCCACTGGGTGAGGCTTCTCGCCAAACCCCACACATGTGTGCACATGTGTACATATATGTCAAACAGGCACATATATGTGCACACATGTGCACATGTGAAAATGGGCAACAGAAACCCGTGTCTGCGCACACGTGCACATGTGACACAAGCAACAGAATACCCCCACACGTATGTGCACGTGTAAAACAGGAAACAGAGAAGGCTACAACGCTCATGGGCC